ACAAAGGATTAGTTTCACTTGACATAACTATAAGCTATAAGCCATATACAGCACACTAGTTGAGAGACACAGCTCTAAGCAAGAGCGACGAGCCTGTTCTCCACTGTTTTAGAGAGCTGACAGTTACAGGTGCCCAAATAACTGAACTCTGGCCAGCAGAAACCCACTTAAGTAAACATCATTGTTTTCCTAATAAAAGAGGACATCCTTGGTACCAATCCTTCTCCTGTGCCTTCTGCACTGACAAGGGATGTACTCTAGAGCTTTAACAGTGATCTTGTGGCCTGCAGGAGCTAGTAACAGTGATAACATCACAGAGCTGCTGGTGCTGACATCATCAAGTATCTGGAGTGATGCCAAAGTGTCTGTCTCCAGATTTCTTACTATACAAGAGAAATAAACCTATAGTCAAGCCACTAGACATCAAATTGCCTGTTGTTTGTGTTCAAATTATGTATTCCTTACACATTATTATCACCCTCTATCTAAGGACACATAACATCCTAATAAAGATGTTAGGCTCCTTTATTTACTCATTAAAGTGTTCCTTAGGATTTTTTCATTCCTGAACAAGTATAAAACTAGTTTCACAAACTTTTTCTAAGAAGAACTTAATTTTGACTTGATACCTGTGAAGACTGTCTTCATGGATATTCCACCATACGCAAGCTTTTCCATCTGTTCCACACATTTTCTTTCCTATGACAAGACCTTGACGTGTGGAATGACAATGAACTGTGTCTCCTTTGGTTGGATGAGCAACAATCCATCTACCCGCCTACATTTGTGTGGCACAGACGCAGGGTTGAAGAAGGTCGAGGAGTTTTTTATGATAGCTTTGGAAACAGTGCACTGATTAGACCTCTACTACTTAACAGAAACTTATTTAAACTACCTTAAGAAAAAAGATAACTTGTGAGAAGGACCCTGGGCTATCTTATGGTAAAATCATGCTACAAAAAGAACTGTGGTTACATCAAGCCAACAAGCTGCTTAAACAGAAAATTATTGTTTGCAGAGCTCTCTTTCCTTCTCTTGCTTTTGCGAGTGCCTTGTTGACTTTCTCTGGCTACAGAATGGATTCCCTTGCTTAGCAGAAACAGCTCCTATAACTCTGGAGGTTTTACTTTTTTTTGGTGCTGGAGCTCAAACTCATGACCTCGCGCTTACCAGGTAGGGGCTTATGCTGTTGAGCTAAATCCCTGGCAGTTTTACATATTTTTGACACAGTTACCAAAGAAAGACCCTAACTCTCTACGTTGCCTGTCCAATGTCCAGTTGCTGGTTCTCATTATTTCATTGTGACCTAAGAGCAGAGTCTAAGAACCTATGGCCAGAGACAGGGCCATGGGATCTCCTGCAGGAGCTGGACGGATGGAGCTGGGAAGAGAAATTCTCCAGAGCAGGAAATGGCAGAGGTGAGCAGCAGAGCTCTATACAGAGTCACCACAGGCACTGCTTCCATGTCACCCTGAGTAGGTCAGTGCTCACAAGGGAGGTGCATAAGGGACAGAGATGAGTGTTTGCTTGAAATGATCGGAAATCAATAAGCAATTTGTCATTAAAATATAGAACCATTAATTCTTACTCTAGGTTGTTATATTCTTTTACAAGCTCTTGTTCTGCTTTCTTGTAGAAGTACTCCTTTCTTTGAGTCTTGTTGAGGAAATTTATGCTCTTATTATAAAGTCCTTAATACATTTACCAGAATACCTAGAGGAGTTTTGTGGAGGGCAGTACTTCCTAACCTTACCTAGAGAGATACTATTGTAATATCCTTCAAATACAAATGCTTTGATCACTTAGAGATTGTATAAAAAATACAGCAGTGATTGTTCTTGGAAAACGTGTTTATAAAATTAGTTCAAAATCAGAGAGTAGAAAATCATTAGAAATATGACAAAATACAATTTTACTCTTGCTGATGGTTCATGCTTACATTTTGGATAGGAAAGCCTATAAACTGAACCATAAAATTCATAAAATTCTTTAGCTTTGTAAGATTACTTTGACACATAATCCTGAATGAATATTCTTTGCTTTGATTCCAAACTTTCAATAAAAAATTATCATTCATTCATTCAGTAAACACTTGTTACCATCTCTACATGCTTGACTTTGAGTCAGCCTTTCCACAGTACTTTGATCTCTTGGTATGTTTTAAGAGTAAGTGACTAGATTTTTATGAGATGGTTTTAAAGACACCAACTATTTTCCTGTAGTTATTGCTTTCTTCTCATTCTCCTTTTCAAAATCCTATGCTGCCTCCAAAAGTAGGAGGTTTGAATATCAATAATTCTGTCTCCCTAGACAGAGCTGATGGGGTTGGGGAGAAACACTTGGCCTGATGGTCTGTCAGATTCTCTCTCCTGGGAAACTGGAATAAAAAGATGAATACATCATGTGTTGGTGATGGTTGCTTGTATTGAAAGGCTGCAGACATGCTGGCAAGTGAAACTATCATTTTGGAGCAGAAATGATGAGCGCACACAGAAGCAATTGAGTGAATATAGAAACCAGTTCACACACAGAGAATCAGACATAAAGCAGAACAAGAACTCATGTGGCCTCAGAGACAGATAAACCAGAGAGAATGGCCACTTAATGACTTTGCAGATGTCTCCTTATAAGTTCTTAGAACCTGGTTGGGCTCCATGAGCTACCTTTTACACCCTTCTGAAACGTCTATTACTTGATCCTCCACCCACTTTTTGAGACAAGAATCTCACTACGTGGTCAAGGCTGGCCTTGAACTCACTAGATAGGCCAGACTAGCCTAAAACTCACAATTCTCCTGCCCAGGTGCTAGGATTACAGGCATGTACCACTGCACCTGGCTCAAAGGGTCTTCTTTCTCTAAGCAAATCCACTCAGTCTATGGAATCAACCAATAATGATCAAAGCTGGCAAACCAGATTTAAGTAGAGTATGTTCCATTTAAAATAACTCACATATAGTCATGGTGGATTGTGTAACCAATTTTAGAGACTCAGAACAATTTTCTTCTTACAGAAGAACTTAGGAATAAGCATATTATGAATGAATTAGGGTCTTCCTATGTGATTCATTTAAGGAGCATTCAGGCAGCTCTTCTGAGAATGTATAAGGGACATACAGGAGGGTCTGTGTTATAACATTAGTGTCAAAAAATTGGAAAACTGCTGACAGCTGCTATGATTCCACTTCCCATGAGTCCAAGGAAATTCAATGTGAATGAAGACAAGATGGAACTCAGTGGTTACTAGGAGCTTCATGGATTTATTTCCATGTTCAAATATAACCATTTTCAACAGCAATATTATTTGGCTACGTGTGTTACCTAACAGACAAGTATTTTTCAGATGTTATACTTTTTTCTTCCTTTCAGCCATTTCAAACAAGCATCTTCAATTGCCAAAAGGAAGTAACTTCTGAAGAGGTTCCACATTTTTTTGTGATTTCGTAACAAACATTCAGTCATGTATCATTTAACCATGGGCATATGTTCTAGAACCATGTCATTAGCTGATTTCATTGTTGTGAGAATGCTATAGGGTGCACTCCAACAAAGATGACTACAACATCACAATATAATCCTACGGGGCTACTATTATATGTGTGATCCCTTTTTGACCAAATGTTACACGATACATACATAGGTTCTGAAACATAAGACAAATTGATTTGAAAAAAACTACTTTTGTTGGGCAAAAAAAAAAAAAATTGATCTAAGAACAAACCAATAACTAACCACAGTAGCAAATGTAAGATGGGAGAACATTATGAAGATCCAGAGACACAGAATGAAAAGTAGGGTAGAGATCAGAGTTGTCTACACTCATAGTATACCTGTGATATCATAATATTTTTGTAGCTAATATTAATGGCTTTTGAGATGGCAAATGAGTGTGGTATGGTCATTAGAAAGGCTCTCTTAGGAACTATGAGGATACTGAATGATTTAAATGCAAATGTAACAGATGGGATTGCACTAGAAAGGCACTCATTTTCTCCAAATTGTACTTTCTCTCCCAATTTTAAATAGTTTTTGCCTCTGTCATGCTGTGTTGGATGCTGTGTCCTGCTACTTTGTTGTAAAATATGGCTACTCTGGCCACAGGACCAGGTGGATGGGCTGCATTATTTTAAGAACAAGAAGGAGGTCAGAGAGGAAAGGGCAGGCAGGTCATCCACCCATAAAGGTTTATTATGCACCTATTGTGTGTTAACTCTCAAGGTTTTGAGTCATAATGTTAAATAAAATTGAAAATGTCTTTATTCTTCTGGAGCTCACATTCTACTTGGAGGGGGGAGTCAGCTCACAAAAGTAACAACTAAATATAAATCATGTTAGATGGTGGTAAATGCTATAGAAAAGAGTCTGGTAAGGGTGGTGTGGTTTTGGACACAATCTGACTTCCATTTTTTCAAAGCTCTCCTGGCTACCATTGGATTATCCCATTCCTCCAGGTGAGAGATGTGGATGGGATGGCATGGATGGGACCTAACAGTAAAATGGGTGCTTAGTAATAGCTGGATTCTGATTTTGCTATGGATCACATCTTGAGTGTAGGAGAAAAGGGAAAGAGGGGAAGGAAGGAGGGGAGGGATAAAAGCTAGAAGAGAGAGGAAATGAGGGAGCAATCTAGAAGGAAATACCAAGGACTTTATACTATTCACACTTCTCAAGAGGACAAGCAATGAACTCTAGAATTTGATCACCCAAGTAACTGCCGTGTGATTCTAGATATTAATGGCATGTGAATTTAGGAACCATTCAGATCTGTGAGCCCCAGAACCCCTTACAGAGAAGCTGTGAGGTGTGACATAGCACCTCAGCGGGGAAGTTATATGGGTGAGGTATGGGACTTAGTGGTGGTCTAGAAAGGAGAAAAATGTTATCCTCTCTTCCTTCTAGGTAAGGGTGATCCAGAGAATAAGATTTGCTTTACAAGCTATGATGAGACGGCGCAGAAAAGATGTCATCCTCCCAACCCCGTGTTTCATCACACACAGGTTACTTATATTATTTGCATTTGAGTGCTTTATTATATTGGAATTGCAGTGATATTAACATTTGTACAAATGCACAAAATCTTGTCTCTTCTTGCTAGAAAGAGATGTAAAAATCTGACCCAGTCGAACAGTCTTAATGAACTCACTGTCCATTGGTAACAGTAAATGTGTTCACAATGCAACAAAAAGCTTAACATAAAATTAAACATATTAAATGCTGCAGCAAATATTTACATGTATGTACCCCCAATTTTTCTCCTTCCAATAGGAAGGTGGTTGCTTTACAAATAGACAAACAAACACAGATGCTTCGCTGTTTATACAATGACAAACAACCCCAAGTCCAGAACTTAAAGTGACAGCACCTTTTTTTCTTTTTTGGGACTTCCTTAGTCAACCCTTACTTTACACAGTGCTAAACTTTTTTCTCAATTATATTTTTGGACAATATTTATATTACAATTGTCCTAGAACATTGCATCTGAACAAAGCCATTTTTTTTCTGGGCCTTTCCAGAAGATTCCCCAACTCTCTGTTCTCTCCAGGGAGGATACTTCCAACTTTGGTCCCAGACAATCTTCCAAGGCAGCCCTCCTCTCTCTGGGAGGCAGGTGGGGCTTAGTGGAGTTTAGAAGTAAAGCGCTGAGCAGGTCTTGTCACTGGCTGGTTGGCTGAGAAGAGTTCTTTCTCTTAAACCCCATCTTTGGGCACCCTGATACCTTTCCTTGTCCCTTGGTAGCATCAGCAGTTCCAAAGAAGGAAACTAGATCTAATGAGCTTATTGTGCAGAAGATTTTAATGATGTGTTTAAAGCTAATTTATTCAGATCCCACATTCTCAGTCCTGAGGCTAAGTGATTTTATCTTCAAAAAATCCTATAGAGTTCTATAATATAAAGCTTGATGTAAGAAAGCATTAAATGGCTTGGGAAGAACTTTCTAGATCTTGACTTCTAATGAGCTAGATGTTTTTAAGTTGATCTGAATTTAGTAGTTGATAATTATTGATTTCTTTCTGATGATAAGCTTGGAAAGGTATCAGAGCGTCCTTAAGAGTATTCGTCTATTAACAACTGCTGGCAATTTGGCTTTACCCCCTTCTTTAGCTTTGCTTAAATATTCTTTTTTTTTTTTTTCAAAAAATAGACTATTTATAAGGAAAAAAATATAAACACTCTTTAAACAATTTGGCTACAAGCATTACATCACTGAAAAACTCCACAAGAGATAGTAAAATATTTTGAATGGACATATAATTTTTCATTTTCACAACATGATAAGCTAGGGTTTTTTTACTTTAAGTGGCTTCGTGTGTTTGTTTTGGTGCTGGGTTTTATTTCTAAGTTTATTGCTCCTGTGTCTTCTTATCCTTCCTTAGTCTACAAATGTAAAATAGAGGTGCTGTCCCTAATCATGTTACAAGGCCACATCGTAGTTTTGAGACCTAGAAATGAAATTAATAGGGCCGCTGGTATGTCAGCAGCTTCAGAGAGGCTACGATTAGGACAACTGTCAAATATGCACCGTGATGCACAAAAGAGTAAGTCTCCTGGCTTATTCAGGACACTTTGGTTTGGAGGATGAGATACAAAATTCTTAAACGTAGCTTAGCTGCTGCCTCACATCTGTTGCATAATATTACATTTTTAACAAACATGCTATGAACAAGGGGATAAAGAGTATAAACCATATAGTATACTGGCTCTTTTTGGCATTCTTGTAGCAAGCTTCTCCTAGGCTGATATGAGAAACACGTCTTAGCTATGCTACTCACGAATGCACACAAATGTACCTGGTGCAAATATTCTGTAAAGTATTTTAAATGACTCAGCTCAAAGCCTTACAGGAAGGGTGGAGGAACAAGAGGGGGACAAAGGCAAGTTTTAGGACAGGAAATAGATTAGAAAGAGCACAAGGCAAATAGGGATCAAAAAAGCTAAAGTGCAATTTTAAAATATAAATTATTTTCAAAGCAGAAAAGAGATCCTAGATTGCTACGGTTCACATAGGCACAGTTTTATTCAAATTTAAATGGGTGATTTCCTTTCCCTTCTCCAGTATACTGCATAATGGAGCTTGAATGGCTTAAACCTACTGCGTATGTTTGGGAAGGAATTAGAAGCTCTGCGGAAGCTGGTAGTGCAAGGCCTTCCAGGGAATGAGGTGGGTAGACTGAAGCAGAGATGAAGTTGCTTTTAAACTTTTATAAAAAAGCTGTTCCAGTTATAACTACTGATTCCCTTTAGCTGAACTCTGCTTCCTTAATAAAGAGCTTACTTTAAAAATGAAAAGAAGAAATCCATGTTAAAAAAAACTGTTTAGAATGCAGATTAAAAATAACTCACAGAGCAATAAAAATCCTTGAAATGTCTATGCACAGAGATCTAAGCAACCATTTCCACCAAATGATGGACAATAGCCATCCGAAACCCTGAAAAATGAAAATACACACTACTAGAGTAGTTTATTATGGACTAATATTTTAAAAAAAAAAAACAAGTAGAACCTACAGAAGAATACTGTTCAAATGGAATGTTTAAAAATAACATTTATTAATAAATATCTTATAAAATTCTAAATTAATAGATTCCTGTTCAAATTTTGCTTTGGTCCTTGAATTCCACTGTATACATACATACATACATATATATTTTCTTCGATGGTTTTATTAACCAGAAAGAAACACATTCTATCCTAACTGGGTGACTAGTTTTAGAGCAATTATCAATGCTTAAAACCCCCCAGCCAAAAGCTGGTCTTTTACTGTAGCTGGTTTAAGATTTTAATGGCAAACTCATCTAACTCACTAAGATTTACTTAAATGACAGGCAACAACCACCTGAAAATTCACCACTGACACCTTGCTCTCAGAATACGCGCTGTGTTTAATTTCACTGACCAGATAGGCTCTGAAGAGCATGTGCTCCAATAAGTCACCCTTGTTAGTATGGCATTTCCTTAATAGCACACACGCTGCTCATCTACCACGAGTTGTATTAAGATGACTCGCATACATTGATGTACGGGTAGGAGCAGTGTGGGTAGGAGTGCAAAGGGAAAACATCTGACTTAACACCTAGTTTTGAAATTAGTACATTCCTCCATGACTGGGATTTTTCATTATACCGGTGGCATCATGGATTGGGAAATGTGTCAAAGAGAAATAATTAAGATGCAGACGCCTCCATGCAGGCGAGGCTTCACCTGGCTGAAATGCTCTCAGGTATACTACCTATGTTGTTGGCTCACAGCACGTTAGGCAGGGGAAGTACTGTTTCAGTTCCCAGCAGGCTGGCAGTGACTTCAGAGGCAGATCCTGCCAATAAAGAAAGCCACACAGATAAAGAAAGCCACACACAGGGATAGGAAGTGCCTGCGGGACCTTCTCTCCTAAGCACTAGGGCTCCCAGGTCATAACCACTGGTTTGCGAAAGTATGCACTGACTGGGAGAGGAGAAGGGGTTTAAAGATGTTCTCCGAGACCGATCAAAAGTACAGGTCAAGAAGTAGAGGAGGTAATTTTGAGCAGATCTTGTGACCTAGACCCTTAGGTGAAACCCTCAATATTGATAGGTCAATTGTTGGACTAGACTATAGACTCTTCCTGTTTGGTATTTTCAAGAGAATCAGCTGGCATCTTTCATTTACCGTATTTCCATATTATGAATGAACACACCTAAAGGCCCTGAGTATAACAAAAAGGCAGTTTATTCTAATTATATATATTGAGGGAGGTTTGTTAGTGTGTGTGGTTGGTTTGCCTACTTAGCATAAAAAACAGACATAACTGAGCTATAAATAATGCACATCCGTCAAACTGTCGAGTTGCTGAATTAAGAAAACTCGGGCAAGTTCTTAATTGCAAAGGCTTTCAGGTTAACAACTAAATATTTCAATCAAGACGTGAAAGAGTAGTAAACTAAATCATAATTTCCGTGAATTTTAGTGACAGTTCACTCCCTGTACATTCTGATAGTACTAGTAGATTTTTTAAAAAATCTCTAACATTAAGTGCTATGCATGCAGTAAAGTTTTTGTTTACTTAAAGCAAAACATAAAATAAAAACAAAATGAAAAACTCAAGCAATCTCTTCAATTAATTTTTTTTCCATTTTGGGGGTTTTAGGGGACACACAAATGGTCCTAGGAAGAAATTCTGAAATCCTTATTTATTATTTTAAAACAGATACAAATATTAATTTCTTTCCAAAGTGAAGTTTTAAACATTTCTTAGGAAGCCAGTTAGGTTAAACCATTCTGTCACTGCCAGAATTGGAAAAAAACAAAACAAAACAAAACAAAACAAAACAAAAAACTGCCCCCAAAACCCTATGAACTCAATATTTAAAATACTTTAAATGATGTTTGTCTTAATATAATAGAAAATCTTTTTGATTTTTCTTTTTTCCCTCCATTTTTACATTTGTTTTGATCCTTAGACTATATACTCATGTCCTAAATTTTACTGAACACTCAAAAATCATCTTTTGAAAGCACTGCATACGTAGTAAGATTGTTGCTAATACTGATTTGAAAGTAAGTTATTAGATAAAACTGAAACTAGTTATAAAATCACGCTTCACAGCCCTCATATTTTCTTTTTTTTCCCCTCCAAAATAGATTCTTATACTATAGTGAGAGGAAAAAAAAACCCCACACATCCTTCCCTTTTCTGAACTCTTATAAAAGCAACCCATTTTGTAGAATACTGTTCTTTGAAAACCCATAAACACTTACATACCCGCACACACACGCAGGCACACATGTTAGAAGGTCAAGCATTCAAATGGAGATGAAACCGGCACCTGCCTGGACCGCTAGAGAGAAACATTAGCCCCTATTATTTGTGAAAAACGATATTAAAACCTTAGCACAGTAGGATGGCTTGTTTCAAGGAGGCACGACTGTGGTTTGGGTCCTATCTGCTTTTTATAATAGGCAAACCCACGTTAACTTGCTGAAAATATAAATCAAAATTATTCAGAAGAGTGGAGTAGTCTGGGCCACATCCATGGGATTCCGCCAGCAGCCAAAGAGCGCTGCACTGTTCTGGGGGCTGAGAGTGCCCTACAGGAACACTGGGCTTGCTTTTTCTCTTTGTTTCTCTAAGAGTCGGTCTGCTTTCACCCACCAGAACAGCATAGCTGGTTCCATAGGCTTAAGAAAAAAAAAAAAAATCTTAGGCTATTAGCAGCTGATGACTGAACAAAGTAATCTGTGTAGTGAATAGAGCCCTTCTGAATTATTATATAGTACATAGATTTTCAACATTATAGATAGGTTATATAAAACCAGTTGTAACTCAAGGGTGTGATGTTATAGCCCCGCATCATAATTTGGACTTTCACAATTGGGGCGTACTTACAAAGCTCCCTTCCCTGGTGTCTCCACAGCTGGCACTCAACAGTGCTTCACCTATAGCTAAACCACCTTTTTATTTGCTCTGATTATTAAAAACATTAAATCAGGCACACCAAACATCTCCTGGTTACTATTTTGCGAAAAGCAAGAATTGAATGAACTCCAGCTGTGGGTTACAGGCAAGTGAAGCGATGGCTAGATCTGCATTTTTTGAGGTTTGTTTTTCTTTTTCTTTTAACATTATTTTCTTCTTCACATGCAGTGCTAAAGGAGGTGGAGCAGAAGATAGTTCAAATGAAGAGTAAACAGGGAGCCCAAGATACAAAATGGACATGGAGAGGGAAACTGGACATTTGAACAAGTGCACAAAGAGGAGGAGAGTGGTGAGGTGCTTGGTGTTTTTATTAGGACACTGATGGATCTTATAATTTTAGAGAAAAAAGTCATAGGAAAGGCTGTGTATTTGGGATTCTGGTGACCGCACAGCACAAACTCAACATGAGTTTTGAGGTCATCAGATTTCCTACCCAGTTATCTTGGATCCGGCTCACTTGACATCTAGGTATGCCTCATTTTGGCTAAAAGCTGTGGTTTAACAAGATTCATTATTTCAGGCAAAGGGTTGGACTGATAAGAATGAAACCATGGCTATATACAGAAAAAGTTCTGTTTATAAACAAGTAATTGGTACCAGAAAATTGGAGGAAAGCACCAAAGCATTTCCCAAGCTGATAGATATTAATTGCATAACTCCCTTTTTTCTTATATAACTAAGTATAAAAGACAACATTTTCCATAGTAACTATAAAAATGAAAGCCAGTCTTTGAAGGGCTGAGGAGTCTTCCAGGTCTGAGTGAATTTTAAAAATGCCCTTAAGAGAAAGGTTGCATGATATGCTACAACTCTTCTTGGAGGCAAGGTTTGACCCGTGCACTTTAAAGAATCGGATTCAGGTCTGTTCTGTGGGTAGTGAGCTGGCTGAGGGTGGAGCTTCCTACGACCTCGCTGACCGCTGAGGAAGTAGTGATGGTGTTATGCTGGATGACTTGCTGCTGCGAGCAAGCTGGGACAGGACTTGCAGGAGGGCTACTCTCTGGACCTACGAGAAAACACATATGCACACACCAATGTAGCTCTTTCTTGTGTGGACTTGTAAACTCCTCAGAAAAAAATCAGCATTAGGCATTTGCTTGACATAGCAGAGTTTCACACATTTTCTTCTGGATGTTAATTTCAAAACTTCATTTTAATCTGCAGTCACAAGGCTACGCCTTTCAGGTTTATAGTTCTGAGCAAAGCCATGCTTTGTACATCAGCAGGATGATTAGATGTGTTTGGTCTTGGTATGTGAACTTCCCATCTTGTGTTTCAGATAGCCATCCATATATCAAATGTGGAAAAATACTCACATGTGGTGGGAGAATCTGTGTTGCTCAATCTAAAAAATTATTTGAAAATAAATTGACCTTCAGCCATGAATCACTGCTCCTCCCACCATCCCCTCTTCAACTCACATTTAACTTATTGATGTTCTAGACGCAGAGATTGCATTCTGGTCCACTTTTCTTAGTGGTAAACTGAGAACAGGTCACCAGAGAGTAATACACAGTGTATCCCAAGGCACTGGAAGTGATTCATTCGTTGCCTGCTTCCCAGCCCACAGATTTCTCAGGATGATGGATAGGTTACTGGTAATTGCCTACCATCAGACTATTTTCTTCCTGGCTGCAAAACCGGAATTCGGTAGGATTTTTGCAATATAAAATGCCAGGGAAAGTGTAGCCAGGAGTTATCAGGAGATGGTGAGCATGATGTTGGGTAGGGGTCAGGAAAGAGGGATCCCCTTGGTAAAAAGGGATCCCCTTGGTAAAAAAGTCTGGAGTCTGGCAGTCATTTAAGAATTTCAGCATTTGTGCATGGAAGCACCATCTAAACTTTACTTTTGCCCTTACAATAAAATTCAATGCAAAATTGGTGGCCAAATATTAGATGCACAAAAAAAATTGAAAAGAGTGACTTACTTAAATATCCTTGTGATTCTTTCTGCATGGCTGTTATTGGACAGTCTTTATGTGTTAATAACAACTGCTTCAGTTGGGCCACTTCATTTTTCAACATAGAAACTTCATTCTGAAAAGAGACAAATGAAAGCCATGCTCAAGAAACCAGAGAATACAAAGCCAAAGTCCCATACACTTTCAACCGGGAAAGTGGCAAACTTCCTGTAGTGTCCAAATGACATTAAGGGTATTATGTAAAAGAGTTCATCTGAAAATTTGTAGCTTGGCTTGAATGTAGCCCTGACTTTTACCAAGGCCTTTATAAAGAGATTAGGTGCTAACTCAACAGCTAAACTCAAGAGTAAACGTCTAGATCATACTCTTCAGGTGAAGGCTTCTGAAGCAGGTTATGTAAGTGGAAATCTCATTCTCATACTTACTGTGTGACCCTAGACAGATCACATAACTACAACAAGCTCCAATAACCTCACTTCCAAGATCGGGTTAGAGACAGTGCAAAATTATTTGAGTTGTTCTGAGGATTGAATAAGGTAATAGATAGGAAACATTTAGAACAATACCTAGTATAGACTGAGATCCCAAAAAATTTGAGGAAGGTGAGACAGACACTGGGGAGAATTATGTGGCAAGACCAGTGGCTTCCAAGTGCAGTACAAACAGGTTGAATAACTACCATCAGATTGCCCCAAGATGTTCCACATGACCCAAAGAGGAGCAAACATATCTTTTGCCTGCTGCCTACTTACCAGGGTGTGGAACCCTAGGGTGCACATGCTAATTAGATTATCTACTGGCATGAAGATGACAATCCAGGGAGACCAGAGACAATAAAATTAAGGTCATGATCGGATTCAGTCGACAAGTTTATTAACTGGTTTGAATAATTTCAGTCTCTAATCTCCCTCTCCCTTTTTAAGGTGGTATGGATTCTGTTTTTCTTCCCCTTACTCACATGAGCACCTCAGATTTCTACTTTATATAGTAATTCGCAAAGTCATGCTCACATCCTTGTAAAATAATGTTCTTGGCACTCATTGTCTAGAAATAGAACTGCAGAATAGATAGGCTTGCTTGAAGGTGCTTCCTCTTGATAAAAGTAACCTATAAACATCATGCTATCTAAAATAAGCAGTTTTAAAACTGTGATAAATAATACCTCTCTCTGGCCAAGGTTCATTTCTGGCTGGCAGACATTATATTTCCCATGTAGGAAATGTTAGAAAAAAAGCATGCACACAGTAAAGGGCATTTAATGTTGCTGTCATTAAGTTCAATCTACAATTGCAATATGAACTTGACTTTTCAGGCATATATTTATCACCTAGAGAAGTAACTATAGGGTTCTAACAGTTACTTAGAAAATGAAAACATGTATTAAAGGATCACTCTCATTGCTAAACTGACTTGGACACTCAGTGTAACATTATGAGTAACTGCACACTGAGTAACATTAATAACAAAGTAATAAAAGTCTCGTATTCAAAAGCTTTTCCCTTTCTCCTCCAAACTACAAAATAAAAAATATGTATTTCAGAAATTAACCTTAGTGATAAATAAATCACTTAACTGCACAAGAAAATTGCTCTTAAACCTGAAAACATTCACGAAGCCAAACTGCTTCTCCTACTTCCCAGTAAGTATGATTCATAAGGGCTCCTGTACCAGCTCAAACTGACCCTTGTCAATTCTGGGGTAAGTGGGACAACTTTATTTATGGGACAATTTATTTTAGCCTCAAACACTAACTCTTTCCTCTCTGAAAGTTTAGCTAAATTCAGATTGCCTTTTTTTGTTCCCCTAGTTGCCTCTCTGATTAAAATACTATGTACAAAAAAAGCCACATTTCGGCCACTGCATGAAAGAAATCTAGGGTTAGAAACCACAGTAAGAGGTGTGTGTGTGTGTGTGTGTGTGTGTGTGTGTGTGTGTGTGTGTGTGTATGTGTGTGGTGGGTGTAAATGAAACATCATGCTATTTGCATTTGAGCTACAGAAATAACACTTACTGAAAGTACCATTCCAGATACCCCACCCTGAGTAGAAGCTTTCAACTATAGATAACGTAGGTAGATTCATAGAGAATGGAATCGAGTTCCAGTGTGTTTGTGAATCCACTCTATTCTACCCAGACCTATAAGACAACAAACAAGGAAACTGTTAAACCCAAACCCTGTTCTCTAGCTTTTTGTACTATGAGAAGAAAAATAACCCTTGGTGGCCGTCTTGGAGATGGTGAATTTGGGCTTCATTTCTTCCCATCCTGCATCCTACACAGTTAGACCCCTGACAGGCAGCATCTAATCCTCAGGCATGAAGAGTTCATTGCCCCTTTTTAAAGAAAAAAACATAGATTCCATTTTCTGGGTTTCTACAGCTGCAAGGAGCACACCCTAAACTATTACACAATAAACCTTTTCCTTCCATAAAACTGGTTTACTATAAAGCAGCATCAACCACAGCTCTGAACAGCATATATGGTGTTCTGGCATATCACCAAAGACCCATGAAAAATACATAAAATTAATGGCATTTTGTGTATGGATAGCAAAACACTATCAATAAACCAGTACGTTTTAACTATATAGAAACCAAGGTCCTGAGAGTTATAAAAGCCAGTAAAAACATGGGAAGACAGTGAACACGGTCAAAACTGACCATCACTTAAAATATATATATGCATATAGTCATATATTTCTTCTGTTTTTTGAATTTAGTCATATTTTTTAATGTAATGTGTTAGTTCTTATATAGTTGAGTTATGTTTCAAAAATGGCCAATTAATAGGATTGGTAGAAAAGAACAATTGGCCTCTTGTTTAGATCACGTGCACATTAAATATGAAAGGTCTCATAATAACAGAAATTTGTCGAGCAGCAGGCAGTAGGAAAAGAAGCTCTCAACTAGAGGCAATCAGCACAGAGGGCGAAGGCATGGCTCTGAGGGCGGAGTGCTTTCTTAGTTTGTACAGGTCCCTGGGTTCAATCCTACCGCTGACTAAAAATGAGCAAAAGAATAAGATCTTCCTAAATGGCTGCATCAAGTACAAAATAAGAGGTTTGGCTTTGTTCCCAAGTTCCTTCCAGACAGACAGCTTCTTATTTTATGATTGTTTTTGTGTGTGTTTGTGTGCCTTCTACTGAAAAAGCTAATTACCTAAGTACTAACGAAGCACTCAATCTTGATTTTTAATCATTAGTTTACTACTTTTGCGAGCCTCAGAAATGCTTCTATTTCACTGGGAAGCCAGTTTTTTAACACCTCTTGTACTTCCAGATCTTGTCAGGGCACACACAGTCCAAAGCCACACTGATAGTTTCATCCTAGAGCAAACTTGTGGATGTCATCATTTGTTTATATTGTTGAGAGTCTGCGGAAAGTTCGAAGGATTCCATAAGGGGCCTTTGGCTTAAGAGAGGTCAAGAATCACTGTCCTAGTGAAAGGAGAATGTGTTGTGTGTTGTTCAGATGTATAGTCATTTTAAAGTTTCCATATAGAAAGGCTGGAGGATGTATGAAATGCAGAACTCGTAGGCTGTATTTTAAATAAAAATCCTTTTTAAGGTAATGTAGGTAAAATCGCCTTGAATTCATTTTGGAAGAGAACAACCAGATATCAAACATGTCAAAATGCATGAAAGAAATCAAATGTGGCCTGTAAGTTTAGTAGGGGAATAAAAGCCAGAACTTAGGCATTTTCCTAAATTGCCTTGCTGTATAGAAAAATCACCATTTTAAAATTTCCCTTATGTATGCTATAATAATTCTACGTCTTACTGTAAAAATACTTTGCAATGTAAAGTACAAATAAGTTTTGATTCTCTTATTGAAATCAATCCTTCATTTTTTCATTTTTCTAAATAAATTTGGGTCTGCTACTCCAAAGCAGTCAGTGATTTAAATAGAAACCTTAAGAGGAGAGATCCCATTGGATGGATTATTTTTAAACCTGTAAGTTTTCCTAGGGATGAAGTAGCACCCCTAAAGAGATATTCAATACTACAATAACATTCTTTAAACATTCTTCTTCCCCTAGAAGTCCCTAATAGCTACATTTACAGTTTTTGGCTTGGAGGATGTCATTTTATTATATGATACATTCACAATGTTTTTTGATGTAAGCAATAGTTTGTGCCAAAAAAATAATTATCAAAATGGGTCCTACAATGTCCCCCATTTTGTACATTAGCCGAGCCCAGTTTGGGTTGATTCTGGAACAAAGGACTTTCAATTTGTCAAGCAACAGTTCCCATCTGGCCTATTCTCTTGCCAAGTCCCAGACCTGGGCTCATGTGTCTAAAATTTCAGCGGCAACTGAGACCATGTGTCTTTGCACTAAAAAGAAAAAGCAATTATTTCCATGGGTGACCAGATGATTTCTATATCCTCTACCGAACACAAACGATCTACTGAGTACCACATCAGGAGTGATTTTATTCCTCTCTATAAGAAAAATGATATTGATTCCTTCAGTTTAAGGACTTTATAAATAAAAGACCACACAGCAGTGGGTTAGGTGGATGGGAGACTTGCCTGAGTCCTCATTCTGCTCCTTACTGGTTGTGTGACATTTTGGAGGACTTCTTGTCTCCCCAAATGTCAGTTCCTCCCTTTATAAAATGTCAGGTTGTGTGGCTTCTAATTTTTCCCTAATTCCTATACCTGTGTTGACCTCATGATTTGTTGTGAGACAAGGAAATAAAGTCTGGGGTTTTTATTTTGTTTTCTTAGGTCTGGATTTTCCAATTTGAAACTGGGCAGCCCAACTAGAAGGTTCTGTGTTGGAAAACAACTCAAAAGTGGCAGGTGGCCATCCAGACCTTGGGTATTCCATTTGGCTGGAGTTTGTTTACTTAGCACCTTCCATTTCTGTTTACTTAAAATTTGGCTCATTGAACCAGGCTCAAAAGAGACACCTTTCTCTTCTGACAAGGGTCCAGTGAGAGGGAAAGGGTCATGCAGAGGTAGCAGAATCGGCAGCATCCTCTCCAGCGTCAGAGGGCATGACGCAGAACACTCAGCGTCACAGAAAAGACTGATAATTGTGGCTTCCATCCCTCTGAAGCAAAGCAGTGGTTGAAAAATATCAACATCTTGGTCCTTTTAGAGTTTTTTTTTCTCTTTTTTCAGTAATTTGTTAATAACCGTACATTGGTACCTGCTGCACGCTTTAGGTAGGATTCCCCCATCCCCATCCACCACCCCAGCTTTTCAGGAGCTAGAGTTCTGGTGTCTGTTTTCCTTAGATATTTTTGCTCTAAAACAAAAATCAAAACAAGCAATGCTGCAATGTATTAGGATCTAGTAAAGGATAACTTTACCTTATGCATTTCTTGAAAGCAATTATAAATACATATATATCAAGTCATGAACATAGATAACCTCGAATTCAACCAGCATCTCTGTTTTGTTGGCTTCCTGTTATGATCTTTTTATGTTTCACACTCAAGGATTGCATGCATGATCCTTGAACATGAAACACACAGCAGTTCTGTATAGGACTCATTTTAGTCAACACTGATTCAAATGCATGTCAGCTGGCCACTCACAGATCCTTCATGGAAGGCTGTGGGTTCTTGACTCAGGCCAATGTTGTACACCACCATGTTCCTCACCCCAGTCAGGGGACATTTGCTAATATCTAGAGACTTTTTGTTTGCCACAACTCAGGACATGGGGGAAATGTTCTTGATCCCTAGTAGACAAAGGCCAAAGATAACAGCTAAATATCCTACAAAGCACAGGGCACCAAAGGATACTTCAGAGTTTCCACCAGCCTCCTTCACCCTTGGAGCCAATTCCTGGAGTTTCCCCACTTTAGTCACTGTAGACCCAACCACTGCTGCCATATGTGCTCAGTCCACACAGATCTGAACCTTTATTCACTTAACATGTGTATGCATATTAACTCGTTATAAAATCATTTAGCCTTACCAACAATATCTGCAGGATTGATGTTCTAAATCCATTTTCAGCACACATCAAAATATAAATATGACTGAATAGCATTATGCTTATCCATGTGCTACCTAAAAACTTTTTATAGACTACCATGACTGCCAGGTTTTAGAAATGGTTTTAAAGGTGTTTAGGTTCAACCATCTCTCTGTGGTTTGAGTCCCCGCAATCACATCCTTGCCAAGTGGTCAGGCAGCCAATTCCTATTCACAAGTGTGTGTGTGTGTGTGTGTGTGTGTGTGTGTGTGTGTCTAACAAGGCCCAGTCCCAATCTTTTTGTGGCACACAGACCAGAGGAACAGGGAACCATTATATTATTTTCTGCCATATCTGCTTTATATTTCCCAATTTCTTGCTCCTGTCTGTCACAAAAATTGATACATTTAGAGGGAAAATGTGAACACCACAAATTAGGAAACTGTACTCTCAGTGGATGCCCTAAGGCCATTTCCACTCAATAGAATGGAAAATGCAGAGGCTCTGGCACTCCAATCTCTTCCTAAGGATGCACAGAGAACCATGTGGAGGAAGAGATGAAGGACCCTATAAACCACCAAGGTGCACAGTCTCCCTAATTTACTCATTGCCTTTTGCCTCCTGGCCATTCTCTGACATCCTGGAACTGCTGAGTATAACCCACAACTCTTCCACTGTTTCTGGGACGTTTGTGTCATGTTAGTTTAGTTGTTCATTTTTTCCCCTATCAAACACTGCACTCCTTTTTGATGTGGCTCCCTCTGAACTGTACCATTTGCATATCCTGAAGGCTGCCAGAGGTCCTAGGTACAGCTGTCCTTCCCTTTTTCTCCTTGTCATAAAACGTCCACAGTTAAGCTACCCACAAAAAGCTAAACCCACACCACAAGTACCAAATCTTGCTGATTTTGAAAACTGGATAGAAACATGCCTTTTCTTTCAGAGTACAATAATCACAAGCCTTCTTTTCTTCCACTAAACAAAAATATAACAATAGGACATAATCCAAAAAAATTCCTCAACCTGGTGGATATAAACAACTGTGTTATGCTTGAAAACTGATTCTGTGTCAGGCACTATGCTCACTGCTTTGTAGACATTAGTTCACTTACTCCTACCTAAAAACCCTATAAAGTTATTGTTCCCATTTTATAGATGAGGAAACTGAGAGCCACAGAGATAAAAAGCAGGTAGTCACTGCTGCCCAGGGTTTGAACCGCTGATTTTGTGCTCCCGTGCTCTGGCCCTGGGGCTTGTGTGGGCTCTTTGTCATCAGAGCCTTGTAGGTGGAGTAATTGAACACTGAATGGGTTATTTTGTTTTGTAGAGTGTCCCAGAATTAATAAGGCTCAATGAACAGTACTGCACCTCCTGTGAGGGCCGGGAAAGTGTGTAGCATGACTGCTAGGTCAACAAGCGCCCGCAGGGCAGGAAATGCCAGCTCTGCACAGGGCCTTGGACTCATGGGGGAGAGACAGTGGCCGGCACCTGAAGCTGCATGTTTGTCTGGGTGAGTTCTTCTGCTTTCTTTTCCAGTGACATCACCCAGACCTTCCTCTTCTGTCTGCAGCGGGTGGCAGCTGCCCGGTTCCGTTCCAGAAATTTCCGGCGCCTCTCGTCGGGATCCTCATCCACCACCCTCCGCCGGCGCCCCCCTGTGGGCTGGGGCGGCTGTATTGTCTGGGTTGGCTGCATCTGTTGTGTGGCTGGTGAAACCTGTGGACACAGAAAGGGAGGATTTGATGGGCACAGGGAAGGACACGGGGGATACGGGAAGAAACCCCAGCCAGTGTTAAAATGCAAAGCACAGGAAGCCAGCTGTGTTAGTTAGCATATCAGACTTGTTTTCTATGAATGAAATAAACAGTGAAATCACACAAGGTCAGGAAAGAAAAAGCATCGGTGAGCTATAAAGTCTATGCTGTTGTGGCCAGGCATAGGAATACTCATGAAAAGGTGACTCCTGGTAGATTTTTCCCTAAGAAGCATTTAACTGAATTATGATGGAGGACACATTATTTTTGCTCCTTCAGGTGTTAAAAAACTTTAAAGTAGCTAGTGCATGGACTGGGGTGAAAACAAGCTAGGATTATTATTGATATCTGCCATTTGCAGAAAACCTCTGGACAGGTTGTGGGCTCCTTGCCTTCCAATGAAGGCAAAATGATATTCCTAGAACACTGTCTGGAGATGTCTCCACTGAGTCCTGCAGAAAGTGCCCTGTGCCATCGGGAAGGCAGCTGAAGTCTTATTTCCATTACTTCCCAGTTGTTAGTGCAGAGCACAGGCTGGACCTGCAGACTCCAGATGGGTCGGTCTGCTCCTGGGTTGGGTCTTTGAATACAGCGATTGACAGTGCCCTGAGTTGCACGCACCCTTGCACGTGTGAGATAGAAGTGTGTGTGTGTGTGTGGGGGGGTGTTACTATGTATCTACATTATAAGGAAATCCTAGGAGTGGCAAGGCACTTTATTAAAAAGTTTTACTATGGCTTTGGACTCCCTGTAAGGTCTGTGTGGGACTCAGCAACATATGAGGGTTTGGAGACCCCCACACATAGAGCTTTATTTCTCTCCATGAGGCAGACACACGGCACCTTGTGAAATTTCTACGACTGACTCTTTATATGTCTGGACACCTAATGCTTTCCTTAATGCACTTCACTCCTTTCTCCTTCTTCTTCGCAATAAAGGGTGGCTCTCCCCGCCCCATTTCTCAGTCACTCAGGTTTATGGCTGTAATACCTATAAAGCTGTTTTACAAGAGACATTTAACCTGCAGAAATAACAGGCAAAAAGTTTTTTAAATGAAGCCCAACAACCTTTTCTAGCACATTCGAACCCTAGGATTGAAATCAATCAGAATGACTGTAATTGCACTAATAATGGCTATGGGTTGACATCAGCTCACTGCTGGTGATATATCTCAATCTTTTGCTTTCAAACCTTCTATGACTAGCTGTAAAAGAATCAGGCTCCAGAGTAACGTTGAACAGCATCTCAGTAGTTTTATCTCAAAGACATTTCTGATACTCTTTACTAGTAATTCCTTTCCTCCTGATCACAGAGGAATAACAAAATAAATTAGTTGTCTAAGGTCTTACTCACCAGAGTGGCTGCTGATGACATAGTCCTTGTTATTGGCAAAGATGTAGCCCTTGTCATTTCAGATGCTAACTCCTGAGCTAACTCCTACAAAGCCAAGCATTAGGAGAGAATGTGCTAAGTGCTTAACTATTTGTGCCTTTTCTGTTGCATTTGTGAATTAGTGATCTCTAGCTATCAGCTCTAGACAAAATTCTCAATTAGGCAAAGCTGGGTTTTGATCTCTGTTGCAGGACCCTTTCTTTTAGTACTGCATCCTTCTATCCTAATTTTAATCAACTATTAACTGGTGATGCTTTTCTGGTCCATTCACCAAAATGTCAAGCAATGGTGGTTTCAGTGTAGCTTCAGAGCTAAAGGAAAGGGGGTTAGGAGAAACTCCTGGTGACCATGAAGTCACACCAGGACTTGTACTTGGAGTTTTTCTTATATGCAGAGCTCTCAGCTTTTTCTTATATGCAGAAAAATCACAAGAAACCAGGAAAAACTTCAAATGCAACCCTAAAGTCAGAATTTATGTCACTAGCAATTATGGCTACTTATTTTATATTTAGAATGCGATTCTCTTAGCAGAGATGCTCCAAAAATTTTGATCAATGCGGTGGCACATATTTATAATCTCAGCTACTTGGAGGAGGAGGGTCACAAGTGTGACATCCGCTTTGTGACACCCTGCCTCAATATAAAATAAAAGATTGGAGATGTCACTCATTGGCAGAGCTCCCCTGGGCTCAATCTATACTACAAACTTTTGATTTCAAAAAGATTGAATCTAGGGGCTGGGGATTTAGCTCAGCGGCATAAGCACCTGCCTTGCAAGCAGGCGGTCGTGAGTTCGATCCCTGGTACCGAGAAAAATGAAAAAGACAAAAAAAAAAAGATTGAATCTATCCCAAATCATCTTAGAATCTCACAATTACGGGACTCTCAAAGAGTCGGCCTTTCTGTTATTAGCTAATCATATCATTAAGGCAATAGGAACCAGTAATTAACATAATTTAAGAATGGCATCTTAAAACATTGTCTAAATGATCCTGTTCAAATGTTATCAACACCAACCTAGATTCTTCTGTTTAAGATAGATAAAAGCAACAGCTGGTGCAGCTAATTATAACTGCAATTAACTAATTGGATATACAATTGGCTACATACTGACTTGAAACAGAGGGCAATTGGCTAATTGGTACTTAGCTAATGAATGGTTCTTATATTTAAAGAACTGTTAAACTTGCCTGTGAAATAAGTTGTCCACAAAAGCAAGCAAATTTGGATGTTCTCGTTTTCCTTAAGAAATAAGTACGTATTTGACTGTCTTTGACCTGGTAGCTTCCTCTCTCCCTTTTTCTTTTTGATTTTTGAGACAGCATCTTGCTCTGTAGTCCAGGCTGGACTTGAACTCACTATATAGCCTAGGCTAACCTTGAACTCATAGCAATCCTCCTGTCTCAGTCTCCCAAGTGCTGGGATTACAGGCATGCACCTCCATGCCTGACACTCTCTCCCATATCCTATGGGAGCAAAAATGTCCTGTGGATAGAATTTTAGTGCTAAGTTGCTTGCTAAGTTTCTTGGAATTATTTTGGTTTAAAATTAAGTATGGCTATCATGTTTTGAAAACTTTTATAGAGATCCTCTTTGTTGACACTCGTAAGGGCCCCCACTTAACAGACTGGAAAACTGAGGTTTTCGGAGGTGAATCATCTCTGTCCACAATCACACAGCCACTAAGGTTTTCTCACTCTAAAGATCTGGACATCTGTAGAAGTTTAATGAACAGATGAGAACTGCTTGTGGCTGACCCACTTTTATCAACAGCTGTCCAGGCTTGATGTATGTTAAGAGAGAAGTTTCAAGAGCTTAAAATGCTGCCTGATGTGGGGTCTTGTTTCCAGATGCAGATGATGGAGGAGACCGTGAATTTAGTGTTACTTGTCGGTTTCCAGCTTCTGACATTCTGACCATTGTGACCCATCTGGCTAGGATCTGTCATTGTGGACTGAAGGAAGTCATCCAGTTTGAGGATCCACAGCATCTAGGGTGAGCTGTGTGCTGTTCCTCTGCTTCCTAAAACCCACCCCTACACATGGACTCCTCTCAGCTTGGGTGACGTAACGTCTGCCTGGTCCCCCAACTCTCTTTGAGTCTAGTCTAAATGCTGGCTTGCTTTCTAGCCACTCCTGGTGACTCTCCACCCCTGGGATTTGGCCTTTCTCTTGGTCTGATTGTCAGCAGAGCTTGGCTGTCTCTGCTTCCTCCAACGCATTTCTCATTCAGTGGGGTGAGTCACTTCTCCTCACCATTTGCAAAGCACCTTATGCCCTAACATCCATCACTGAGCATTTTCGTCTGCACAGATTGTTGCTCTTCAGATTTTAACATAATTTAACTTCCACAATGCAAGTGTCAAAATTGAGTCTGTATGTTTTAAAGCATAGGACCAAGAACCAGGGTTGGAACGAACTTATTCATCTCATTTCTTTTCATATCTTGCATCACTAACTTAAAGTCTTCCTAATCCTCACATTGTTATTACCTCTTTTAGGACTAACTTTGTAACACTGAATATAGACGTGGGGGAACTCAGAGTTTATATTTGTCGCTAGTGACTACACATGAAATTTATTGTATTGTTTATAGAAATTATGATCTGATAATGTCTTTTGGGTAATGATCACCTTGTAAGAAAGAATTCAGCTTCCAAGAATGTTAGATAGAACCCCTAGGTCATCAAACAAGCTTCTGCAGGTGACCCCGCCTTTGTGCTCGCAGAGTTAGCAAGAATGAGACAGGGGAAGCAGATGGGGGCAGGTCTACCTGTGCTTGGCTGCCGGTGTGCAGGGGCGGGTGTGGCGAGGTCTGGTGATGTGCCGGGTGTGCGTGGAGGTGGGAATGAGAGTGATGATGTGGGTGGCTCTGCTGGTGATGGGGCTGAGGGTGAGGGTGGTGTGCTGGGTGCTGGTGCTGGTGCGGGTAGGGGTGGTGGGGCGGCAGCGTCTGGTGCTGATGTGGGTGTGAGTGCATGTGATGGTGCGGCGTCTGGTCCTGCCGGGAGCCCATCATTTCCATCATGTGTCCCATGGTGTTCATGTTCCCATTGGACATGGCAGCAGGATGATGAGTCAACGCGGCTTTCAGCCTCTGAAACAGAATAAAGCAATAGGGGACAAGTGAGGTCACTCAGGCACACGATAGGGATTTTAAAGCAAAAGGAGGAATATTCTCAGGTCTACACTATGTCACAGTACTATTGTTAGCATTAGCTACAGATAGAGGGGTAGATTTTATATCAATTTCATGTTTTCTTATCTATTATGATGAGGAGGGTCAGTATCAGTCAACACTGAACCATCACAGCAACTGCATCAGACTCCCTATTGACATTTAGATATCAAGACAGGCATGATAGCACTTCCTTGTAATCCCAGGTAACCTGGTTTGCAGGTGTGAGCCTAACCTGTGCAATTCAGGGAGCCTCTGTCTCAAATGAAACAAAAATAAAATAAAAAGCTTTGGAGAGCCTTTTAAAAGGCTGCTCAGTTTCCCCTGAGCTCAATACCCAGTAGTGTGTGTGTGTGTGTGTGTGTGTGTGTGTGCGCGTGTCTGTGATATTCCATTAAATAATAATATTCCACTAAAAGGTATTTCTTGCCATTCAATCATACATCATACTCAATGGATAGCCAAGTGTAAGTGTAAACCAAACCAAATCATTCAATGTGATACTCAACACGACAATCATTCAATACAATAATCATTCAACATGATAATGCCACTGAGTGGATGGCTTGCATTTGCTTAGGTGCTGTGTTTTGTAAGGATTATAAGAATAACAGATTTTTCTCAAAGGATTTCTCATATGCACAGGAGAATCTTAGATTTCTTAGAATGCAGTGAGATGATTATTATTATTTTAGGACTTTAAATTAGCATTAGAAATCCATAACTGATGGAGGCAATGCATAGGCCTTTTCCATTTGCTACCATGATACTTCGTGTGCCCCCTCCTGATAATCTAAATTTCTTCACACACCTCTTTTTTTAACTTCAAAAAGTGAGGAAAGTAAAATGCTACAGGTTACTGCACTTACATACTTTCTGTGACAGCCACAGCACCAGGCTGTGTGCATTTCTAAACACAAAACAATATTCATTAACAAGCAAACAAACACACAAATAACTTACACCTGAATGTAAAGCGGGAGTCAGCAACTGTTTTCTCCAGAGTCTGTAAATATTTTTACCACCCTGTGCCTTACAGTTTCTATCACAACTCCTGAGCTCAGCCGAAGTAGGGCAAAAGCAGCTGTAGACAACATGTAAATGAACAAGACGTTTTCCCGCGCAACTTTATGGAGGGACACAAAACATAAATTTCATCAAAATGTTACTCCACTTTTAATTCCTTCCATCATTTAAAACATAAAGACCATTTTTAGTCATGCGCTAAATAAAGGCAGGGAGCAGGCTAGGTTTGGCTCATGGGTCACGGTTTGCTAACCCCAGTCTAAAGGATCAGTGGTAAGGAGCTTCGATCTGGTGTCTTCAAGATTGTTTTTTTTTTTTTTTTCCTATACAGGCAATTATCATCCTAATCCTGAGGGGCACGATGTGCTAAGTACTGTCTAATGCATTTACTCCTTGGAAATGCATTCTACGAAGAGATGATACCCTAATTGGCAAACTCACATTGGTTTCATGAAGTATTTACTAGGAGACTCAAATTCTCTCCAGATTTGTGTTCTTATCTGACTGATGATAGTGAATGTGTAATCACTGAGAGAAGAGAATTGCATTTAAATGATGATGAAAGACACCAAACTCTAGCCCCGCACAGCACTAATGATTCTCAACCATTACACTATTAAGAAATACCAATTTAGTTAATCAAAATCTTTAGTTAAACGTAAGAAGCCTATAGTTGTAAAAAATAAAAGACGAAGGGAGGGATGGCACGGTACGTATAGATAACGTGGAAAACATTTTCGTATGCTAACCTAGTAAGCACTTTGCCCACTCGCCTCCCCTTTCAGGAGCATCGACTACTGACCTTTTTGAAGATAATACCGAGGAAGTTAAGCTTCCTGAACCCTGGGAAAGATTAGCTGCTGGCGTTATGTTTACTGCTAAACAGAAATGTGAACTAACTTTCCTCACCTCCACGTTTTAGCAATGATTTCATTGTTTTTATAAAAATGCTCATTATAATAATTTAAGCAGCGAATGCAATGAAGTCAACCACACAGGAGCCAAAGGGGTGGTTTATGCTGGTGGGCGAGCAGCATTCCAGACCGCTCCACATGTGCATAGGCAGAGGTGAAAGGACCAGCAGGGTAACTTTGTAACAGGGCAAGCATGAGTTTTAAAACTCTTTTTGACTACGGCACAGCAAGAAAAATGAAAATCAAGTTAAAACTGAAGTTAAAGGAATGTTTCCTTACCCACAAAAACTTTCTGAATGATGTTTCCAAGCTTACAGATGAAAAAGATATAAAAAATATTATGTTGAAATGATATGTATCTCTTGATTTCTTGGATAGTATTGATGAACTTTATAGAACTCTTTTTTGTTGTTGTCGTTGTTGTTAATTTCATTGTTATAAAAGTATATAATTGCATAGTGAAAAACAATCATCTACTGCCTAATCATCTCGCCATAAGCCCCAGTCTCATTCCTCACGTGTAACCAACATGCACCTTCAGACACTGGCTTAGCATTTACAAGGGTACATCTGTACAAATCCCTTTTATAAGAGGTAGTTTTATATTGTGCTCTGTATCAATACAAATAGCTGGCTAAGACTGATGAGTGCCTTGAGTCCTTCGTATGTGTCACTTCTCATTCTATGCTTTTTAAATATTAAGTCCCTAGTCTTCAGCACAACTCTCAAAAGCTGAAAGAGGGGCAAAGCCATGGTGGGTGAGACCCTATCTTCTTCCCAGGAGACAAGGTGTACGAAAGCAGTGCCCTTTGCCAGAAACAGTAATAATCTGTGCAAAGCCACCATCTCACCATCAAAAGGAGAGACAGAAAGAAAGAGAAGGAGCTAAAATGTTGATGTGAGGTAGGGTTGTGTGGCTGAACAGTAATAACGGGCAAGCCACGAGTAGATCTCCCGGGATGCTCTGTCTCAAGTTTGGCAGAGGGGAGGGTAGATGGAAAGAATTTCCCAGAAGTCACCAGCGGCAGAGGACCACCCAGGGATCAGCATCTTCATTTCCCTGTGTTTATCAAGAACTCATATTTTTAACATTTTCCCTTACCCCAAAACACAGATATGATAAGGTTCAAGTATCTCTTCTCCTCCTTGTTTTGTAACTCTGTGGATCAGCAATGTCTGTGTGATGTTTGGCACATGAAAATCAAAGTCCTTCATGCAGCCTTTGTGTAGTAGATGCAGGGCCAGGCCCTGCCTTCCATCACTGCTTGATCTCTTCTTGCAGCCACACTGGCCTACTTTTAGGGCCAATTCCCTGGAGGGAATGTAATGTTTCCTCCAGACACGGGGCCTTTGTGTTTGAAACTTTTCTTATCTAGGCTGCTCTTTTTCTTCAGACAGCCTCTACCTCTGAGCTCAGGACCCATCTTAGTAAAACTCTCCCTGGTCTAAATCAATTCCTATGAATGATATGGTACCAATTAAGAACCATATTCTTATAAAAAGTATTTTTAGTTATTAGTAAGAGTTTTAGTATGATTCTTCCATTAATACCCATGGATCATCCCAGATCATAAGCTTTACGCAAACATGAATCATTTGAATTTTGTTGAGTGTTAGTTTTATAGCTTTAGCATAGAGCTAGATACGTACTAGACATGAAATGAATACTTTTGGAATGAATGGATGAATAAAAATATGAATGAATAAGTTGAATGAATGAATGAAATTTTCTGAGGCTTATGTCAAGGCTGTAATGTTTTCATCTTGGATTATGGGATCATGCAGGTGAAACTGGTACAGGAGGATGATTTCACGACTCAAACAAGTTTAGCAGAATCAGCCACAGAAGTTACATAGGCAGAAGCACTGCTTCAAAGAGTTCCCCATTCTACTCATGGCCTGCTCTCTAGAAAATGATGGTTTAAAAAGCATAAATAAATAAGAAGAATGCACATTAACTTTATCTTGATACATTTTCCCCAAAAATGAGGCATGGAAAATCAAAAAGCTGTTTAGGAGTGGGTCATTGTGGTGTCACTTCAGTGTTACAAACAATTTTCCACCTTTAATTAGGAGCAAATGAAGCCTAACAAATAAATACTATGCACCAGATCTTCATCTCCCAAATAATTAGCTTGTACTGTTAAGGGAAATTACTTGATTGCTTCAAGTCTGTTCTTGCATGTTTCATGCCAAGGCAATAACACTCGCAATGCTAATAACATTCCATTTAACTATTTATTCACCCAACAAATATTTATTGGGCTCTGACTATGTGCCAGGCACCGCACTAGGCACATTATTATCTGCACTATCAGCACAAAATGAAAAAACACTGAAGTTTGTGTTTTAAAAGTAGTAGAGAGGAAAAAACCACGCTCTTCAGTGTGGAAATGAAGACTTCAAGCCCTTCCCCAAAGACTTCAGGGTAGGAAACTTCAAACTCGTATTTACCCTCCAAGGATCAGCCTTCGTCATGTCTGAAGGAAAGCAGTACAGGTAAATGATTATCAGGCTGCTCTGCACATGCCATAGTTAATGTTCTCCATGTCATTTTCAAACAGTGTGGGACACTTCTAAAAGTCTGAGAATCTGCTGTGTCCTTATATGCTGGTGCCAACAAGAGCAACTGCACTGTAAATCATTAAAATATACCAAATATAGATGTTTGTAGCCCACTGCTTGGGGATGATAAATGAATGACTGAGGAATGAGTCCAAGCTACATTTTGCAGGATGATTTTTCTTTTGTAAGCTGAACTGTGTGTTGTTTTAAATAACATTCTGCCTAATGCCACGCAAACACAAGGAAGGGAGGCAAATTAATGAATAGACAGTATTTTTTAGCTCTAAAAATCCAGGACTATGACTGAGATGAGACTGTAAGAAACACAAAGTGATTCTGTTCACTTTCCATTTTTTTCCTGTCACCACCACTTATTTGAGAGAGTGAATCTGCAGAGACTGGAGGAGCCTGACA